ACTCAGGCAGCTGAGGATGGAAATGTAGCAGAAGAGGCCTCGCTTATCCAGGGAGGCAGAATGGTGAAACACTCAGGGTCTGGAGGCATGTGAGCTTGATGGTTCACTTCTTGGCTTTGGGGCCTCAGTTCCCTCCTTTGAAGTCTCAATAAAGGACCGTGTGGAAAGTGTTTGGAACAGCACTGGCCCCTAATAGTGCTTGCCACAGCAGTTATGGTTTTGCTCAGCTTGCCCTGCCTTTGTGGAGAGAGATATGTGGCCGTCAGCTCATAGCGGCATGGGATGTCCTGGGATGGGAGAGGGAATGAGGAGACAAGGTTCCAGCCCTCAAGAAAATCCCAGTTCGTTCTCCAGTTTACCCTCTGGAAAAGGGGATGACAGACCTGCCATTCAAGCCTGGGCCTATACAGCATGTGTATGCTGTGCTCAAAGAGGCCTGGAGGGAAGCATGCAGAGCTCGGGGAGTGCTGGGAATTTTTCATAGTAGACCTTCCCATTGTGTGCTCCCCAGCTCCTCTTGTGTGTCAAGTGCCCGACGGGCCACAGCAGGCTGTCCTGGGTTTGTTAGTGCCAGGAGAGGACAGAGTGCTGTGCGGATGGTTATCCTGCTTAACAGTAGTCACAGCTCACAGACTCACGCTGATAGTAGCAGCCCCGGGGAAAGCAACTTTCCAAGGCTGCGTATTAAATAAAGCTTGCGTGGGAATGTGGCTTTGGACCCAGGCCCAGCAGACTCTTAACGACTTGAACTCTGGGTGCTGAACCCCCTCTCAGTGGTGGTCCATGCTGGGCTGCTGTTTACGGAAGGGCAACACTCCACACCGTCTTGGCTGTTGGCGTGAGTGAGAGGAGCCATGGATTTTGTGAACTCTTTGGCTTGTGGACGCTGTGTGGGATGCGGCAGTGGGTTTGAGGAAAACCAGACAGAACCTACACTTAGCATGCACAAGGCCTCAAGTGCCATCCCCCACACCCAAACCAACCAACCAACCAAAAAAAACCTTAAGACTGAAGATGGTCCAGGTCGTGCTGACTGGACTAGGGCAATCGTGTCGCTTGCCCGAAGCCTTGTTGCTCTCAAGTGGCAAGACTAAGGTGGAGTCTGAGCCTGCCAGGCTTCGTCCCCACGCAGGTCTGGCTGAAGGAGCCCATTTCTCATCCCATCTCCCCTGCTCACAGCCCTCGAGTCCACGCCGTCTTCCTTTCCTTCCCATGGTGCAGAGGGGCAGTTCCCAAGAACAAGAGTAAGCAGACTGCAGGGTCCTGCCTTTGGGGGTCAGGGGGGTGGGGTAGGCAGTCCCGTTTAAGTGGATCTGAGGAGCTGAGTAAGGGGTGACTGGAGCCAGACAGCAAAGCAGAATGGGGTCCTGCTTACGACAGGAGCGTGGAAGAGCCTAGAGCGAAGCTGACACCAGCCGGTCATGAGGGTTGTACTTGTTTAGATTTCAGTGTGTTCGTCGCACACATCACGTAGGACACATTGGCCGCCTGCGCCTCATCGGGTGGGTCCCCCCCCCCGCAGAAGGATCACTGGATTTGGATTCATTTGCTGGGGTAGAGTAAGCACGGTCTGTTTTAAAACTGCATGAATACTTTGAACTTGCTTTTGCAAACTATTGCCAAAAGAATGGTGTTGGCAGGGAGGGTGTGCTGAGCTCGGAGAGACGCACTATCCTTATGAAAGGAGTGGCTTGCTCCGAAGCAGGGTGGCTGGCTCTGAGGAACGTAGCAAGCACAGTTCCACTGTCTCCTCATGCCCCCTGCCTCTGATGGGGCCTCCAATGGGACAGCCACCTGCTAGACAGGGTTCTGTTTTCACCGGGCTCGGGGACACAAGAGTAAAGAACTCTGCAGTAATACCGTGAGACTCACTGTCAATGCTTACTGCCCTTGTGTACATTTCCTTCTGAGCTTGTTTATCCTGAGGAGGCATAGGGGTTCCTTTTTAAAGTTCATTTTATCTTCGTGTGTGCGTGCGTGCGTGCGTGCGTGTGTGTGTGTGTGTGTGTGCGCGCATATGTGGATGCGTGCGTGCGTGCGTGCACGCACATGTCACAACACACGTACAGAAGTCAGAGGACAACTTTTGGGAGTTGGGTGCTCTCCTTTCATTGTGGGTTTGGGGGATCAAACTTGGGTTGTCAGGTTTGTGCGGCATTTATCCATTGACTCAGTTTACCCATTGAGTCACCTTCTGGCCTAGATAGAAGACTTTAAAGGGCCCTGAGGGTGTGTGGTAGAAACGTGTGCTGAGGAAGGACCTGGTATACAGTTCTGCTCTTCCTCTGTCTTCTCTCTGTAGCTTCAGGTATGTCCTGCAGCAGCCTGGCCTTAGATGCTCACCAGAGTGCTTTGTTTATGCTTGAAGCCAATGTAGTAAGGCTAGAGCCGATCGTGTGACTTGAGTTCCCCCTGGCAGCCATCTGCTGGAATGTATGCCAATGGGCAGGGGCCGTAGATGCAACTGCAATCCTTTGTGTTGAGTTTCTGTGCTTGAGCAGTGTTTCCCTCATAACTTTGAGCTTGTTAAAGATAGGAACAATGTTTTCTTTATCTCTGTGCCCCATTTACCCAAGATGGTGCTTGGCACAGACTGATTCTAGTAAATGAAACACTGGGAGCCAGAGATGGTAGATGACTTGTGTGTAAGTCTCATCATGCATGTGTGAAGTTGCTCAACATATTTATTAGCTGAAGTTAAGTTTGGTTAGTGCGTTATTTCATTCGGGTGTGTGTGTGCATAATGTGTGCACCAGTTAGTGTGTCTCTGCACATGTGTGCATGTGAAGGCCAGAGGCTGACATTAAGTGCCTTTCTCAGTTGCATTCCACTTCATTTTTTAAATATATATATTTATTTTATGTTCACTGGTGTTTTGCCTCATGTATGTCTGTGTGAGGGTATCAGAAGGCAGATGTGAGCTGCCATGTGAATGTTGGGAATTGAACCCAGGTCCTCTGGAAGAACAGCCAGTGCTCTTAACCACTGAGCCGTCTCTCCAGCCCCTCCTCTTCAGTTTTTGAGATGACCTCTCACCGAATCTGGAGTTCACCCAATCAGCTAGTCTGGCTAGCCAGTGAGCCCCAGGGGTCTTCCGATCTCCATCAGGCCCCCTGTGTTGTAATGCACTCCTCCCTCTTATACCTCCTACCGACTACCAAGTTGCTGGAATTACAGATATACACCATGCCCAGATTTTTTTTTTCCAAGTCAGGGTTTCTCTGTGGCTTTGGAGGCTGTCCTGGAACTAGCTCTTGTAGACCAGGCTGGTCTCGAACTCACAGAGATCTGCCTGTCTCTGCCTCCCGAGTGTTGGGATTAAAGGCGTGCACCACCAACACCCAGCCACATGTCCAGATTTTTATGTGAGTCCTAGGGACCCAAATTTAGTTTCTAATGCTTACACAGTGAGCACACTACCAGATGAGCTATCTCCAGCCTCTGCCTCCTCTTTAAATAGATTCTCACCCTGTTTGCTAGGATGGCTTGAATTCCACTCACTGGGAAGCTTAGGCTGGTCTTGAGCTCAAAGTAATCTAACTGTCTCATCCTCCAGAATTTTAGGATTACATATGTAGCCACCATGCCAGGTTGGTATTTTATATCCTTAGTGGGAAATATATTTTAAAAATCTTCACCCCATCTTCATCCACCAGTGCTATGAGTAGGATTTGGCAAAGTGCTGTGCAGTTACTCAGCGGTGCCCTTTATGTAGCTGCCCTGATGAATCCTGGATCAAGTCAAGACTTTGAAGAAACTACTCAATAAGTAAAAGTGTTCTGGTGAATTGAAATTGGACTAGGTCTCCCGAATAGTTTTGCCCCCTTTTCTCAAGAGAAAAGACTCAGAGGAGAAGCTTTTGTGGTTTGATTTTGCTTATCTGTTTATTTGGGGTTTTGTTTTTGTGTGTGTTTGTGTCAGGGTCATGTGTAGCCCAGGGTGATCTTAACTTCTGATTTTCCTATTCCCACCCCCTAAATTCTGGGGTGACAGGTGTATACCATCATGTTGTTTTTACTTCCTCACAGCGGCTGTGCCTTAATTTACTGCTATTTCAGCCAGTAATTGCGACTCCGCAGTTACAGCCTGCTTCTCTGAAAGTGGCCTGTCTGTTGCCGCTTGGTAGCTTTAACTCAATCTCTATTGTTCTATTTATTAGTAAGACTCAAGATTCAAAGGCTGGGGTGACAACCTGCTAGCTCAGAGAGGTTGAGTAGCAACTAGCTGACCCTGTCTCCTTGCTGATGTCTCTCTCCCCAAGAGAGCACCTTCCGCTCTGCCAAACAAAAAAACTGCCGCTCCAAATCCCTCCCTACTATTACTTCCTGTGTCTCCCATACTCTCTCTGATGCTCTATGATTGCTTCCTGTCAACTAGTAGCTAATTTAGCCTCCTGACCCAAGGTTAGTTTTATTTAATTAATACAAATGCAAACTCAGGGTTCACAGTGTGGTCTTATAGCCCCCAACACTGTCGTTCATGGTTTATGCAGTGATGGGTTAAACACATGGTTTCATGCTTTCTAGGCAAGTGTTCTGCCAGCTGAGCTACATTCCCAACTGTGTTTTGCTTTCAAACCATCTTTTGATTCTTACTGTTAACAGTCTGGGAGGGAGTTTGGAAGGGAGATTGGAATGACTGACTGGATGGTAATTCTAGAGTCCTGTTTGCATTCAGGATTCCGGAAAGTTTTGCAGAAAGTGATTTCATTTACTGTTCATCACAGGAGGATCGTCACCTTCCTAGCAACTGAGTTTGACTCTAAGCATGAACTCTTTCTCCTTGGTCATAGGCAGAGTACCCCTCCCCCACCCTATCTTAGGGGAGCCTCACTTTTTGACCATGTGGTGGTTCTTTTTATCTTGTCTCCTGAATGGGACAAACGCCAGTGGCGTTTGGGGGACAGACAGACAGACTGGCCATGTGGAGGAGACGGGGAGAAGGCAGGCCATGGGTACATGCTGCAGTGTAACGTCCTCCATTGCTCCTTGCTTTTGTAGGGTAAGGAAACCTGTGTGGGTACCAACAATCAAAGCTACATCTGTGACACAGGACACTGCTGTGGACAGTCTCAGTGCTGCAACTACTACTATGAACTCTGGTGTAAGTCCTTGTCCAGGGGGTTCTTGGCATCCCAGGGTCCCGGTTACTGCCTCTGCTCCTTGGGAAACCGCGGGCTGGCCAGCCTTTTCTGATTCTCTTGGGGACAGTGTTGGTGAGTAGAATCTGGTTCTGGGTTGCGGAAGTGAGGAGGAGGGCTTGGGCACCCTCTGGGCACCGTGGGCTGAAGACGGGCGTACAGTCGGCCTCTTTGGAGGTCAAGGTTGTTAGACAGCGCTCCTGCCGAACACACTTTGTACCCTGATCTTTTTAGAGCTCAGATGAGACAGTGTTGACTGCCAGACAGAGTGGGAGGATGGGAGCCCTTAGGGCAGAGCAGCTCAGGTGACAGGCGCTGCGGTGGTTCCCACAGCTGTTTCTCAAAAGAAGCAACTGTGGACTGTTTGCCTAGACGCTTCTGATCCCTCCCTCCTGTTCCATATAAAATCAGATGTTGGACTGACTTGTCAAGCCATGCCCTTACACCCACTGTCACCTATGGGCCTCTTTCTCTCCCTTCACCCACTCCCAGTCAGTGATGTAGTAGGAAAGCAGCTAGGACTTGTATTTGATCTGGCAAGGAAATTGGACCCCTGGCTGGGAAGTCTCGCTCCCTGTGAAATGCACTGGTCTTTGGAAGCCAGCATGGGTGGGTCCTTCAAATAGGACCTCTTCCTCGTCCTTCCCTTTCCAGGACTGAGGCCACCCAGCTACAGTTCAGTGTAGGAAAGGACAGGGCTTCGAGATCCCCACCAAGCCTCCATGTATATAAGCAAAAGGAAGGCACAGAATTGCTATTTTAGATGGGGCGGGGTCGAGAAACTGACTGAAGAACTCCAGGTGCCAAGCAGGTGGACGCGCTGTGTTTAAATGTTTTAAAGTGCAGATAACCACAGGGTCAAATTCTCCCTCCCACCCCTTGTCAAAACAAAAGGCGAAGTTGGCCTGCCAAAATGCACAGAGCTCCAGTTTGTTTTGCTGGGGCCCGGGCCCAGCCGGCACCACTTACGGAAAGAAATGGCGTTGCTGATGGCCCCATCTCAGATTGACAGAGCCTCCTGGGCTGCGGGGGAGAGCAGACTCAGAGGCCACCAAAACTGGGTCACCAAAGCCAGGGCCAAGAGGTGGGCCAGTGGCAAGGACCGGGAGAAGCAAGTGGCAGGAAGATTGTGTGGGAAGAGGGACGTCTGTCTCATTACCTTCCCGGCTTCTGTGGGCCGTGGAGACAGCAGACTGAGACAATTCAAAGTCTGCCCAGGGGTGGCCTCGGGCAGGAGATGCCCAGTGTATGTTTTTCTGTCCCTCTCAGGAAATCCTTAGGTTTTCCTCCTTATTTGAGGCCTCGCCTTTTCAAGACGTGGATAGGAGAGGACCTGGGGGTTGGAATGAGCTGTGAAGTTCTCAACAAAACTACACTTGCTGTTTTGTTGTTTCTTTTGGCTTTTGTTTGCTTTTTTAAGATATATTTTTTGTATATAGTTGGTCTGGAAATTGTGGTGTAGCTTGGGCTGGCCGTGAGTTCTAAATTCTGTTACCTCTGCCTCCCAAGTGCTGAAAAAATACACTTCTTGTGGTTTTAACCCATGTCCCCTCTCACTGCCTTTCAATTTTGCCAGAAATGCAAAAGTGACCAGCTTTGAGTTGGCTTCCCACCTCTTGCCCCCCTTTCTGTGGGAGAGAAAAATGAGCCAGTAACTGCTGGCAAGGTCAGACGAGGCACCCCTTCATTTCACAAGAAAGGGCCTGGGGGAAATGCCGTTCCCAGCAGCCCTTTTACCTCTACTAAACTAAACTTGCCTGTGTCCTGAGGACTGCAGAACAATGTACCAACCCACAGGCACATGCTGACCTTGAGTTTTGTCCGGCAGGCTTTCAGGGTGCTGTAATCTGAAGCAGTCCCTGGGCCTCTGTGAGGTGGGAATAGACGCTCCTGAAGCCCAGTGTCTGACACCACAGAAACCTGGGTTTGTGCTTGGGTTCATTGTGCTGCCCGTCAGCCTGTATCCCAGGGGTCTTAGACCACGGTTCGTAGCAGAGGCGTATGTAAACACAGATTTCCAGGCCCTGCTCCCTTCAGGTCTGAGCCAGACCCGAGAGTTTGCAATTCTAGCAAGCTCTTATCTGATGCCTTGGCCTCGCCTGGTTCAGAAATGGGTGAGGGCATAATTCTTGCACTGGGAGGCAGTCAGCAGAGGCAATGCTGTGTGAGCTAGCAGCAGAGACGCGCGCCACGGGTGTGCCGCGTCTGCCAGTTCACCTTCAGAAGGGATATGCGTTGGCCAGCTGAGATCTGGGGGTGGGTGTGAAAAGGTGGCCTTGCAAATGCACCTTAGTGGTCCAGGGGACTGACACACATTCCGGAGGCTGCTCTTAGCCAAGGCTCTGTAGGAAAGAGCCGTTGTCCCGAGCCTGCGGGGCTCATCTAGGAGAGGCGGATATAGGAAACTTTTGTAGACAGTTAAGTAGGGTCTGCATCTGTGTGGTACTCACATTGTTCCCTTGTCTTGGGGCTGGAAGCGTTCAGAAATCACTCGTTTGTAGCTGAGAAGTGGCTGCCACTCTCCATCTCAGGTTCTCTAAGGGCTGAGCTGGAAGGAGGGAGGGGCACGGGCCATAGAGTCACAAACGGCCTGCTTGATGTCCCTGAAATAGATCCAGCAAGGAGGCCGAGGAAATCCGGGAGTACCCTCAAAGCCAACCCCCCCAAAAAAGTCTGAAGCAAGGGTTCCCAGCTCTTGTCTGCAGCTCCTTTCCATTCCCCAGACCACATTTTCCAGAAGAAGTCAAAGCTGGACTTTGTGTCCCTGAGATGTCAGGTTTCCCTGGTTTTCTGAGATGACGGGAAAGAGACTGTAGTTCACTTAATGCTAATGGCCAATACCTACCTGCTGGGTTATTTTAATTAGTATATAGGAAACTGTCCATATTTGTGGGACACTATGTGATTGGTATTTCAACACATGCACAAGGAGAAGTTAACTGTATTTCTCTTTTCAGTTTATCTTAGAAACACAGTTGAGCTGATGTTAAGGCCAGCCTAAGGCATTTAGAAACACAGCTGAGCTGATGTTAAGGCCAGCCTAAGGCATTTAGAAACACAGTTGAGCTGATGTTAAGGCCAGCCTAAGGCATTTAGAAACACAGTTGAGCTGATGTTAAGGCCAACCTAAGGCATTTAGAAACACAGTTGAGCTGATGTTAAGGCCAGCCTAAGGCATTCAGCTCTTGAGCACATTGACTGCCAGGGAGCACCCTTCCAAGCCCTTGTTGGAGCACAGCTCCCTTAGTGGTCCAGGACGCGGGCAGGGTGGTCAGAGCGAGACGGCTCATATCAGCGGCCCGGCACCTTGTTCACAGCAGGGGCTCAATAAATAGGAGTGGCCTGAGTTTTCCACAGAATTCTGCCAAGAACAGAACCTCGAAGCAGACTTTGGCCCTGATCCTAACCCATGTTTTTTATGGAATAGTTGTCAGGGAGGGGTCAAAGAGGGTTTCAAGGAAATCCTTGCCATCTGTGGTTATGCCTGTAACAGCAACAGCTATAATAATAAGCCTGGGATTGCACAGGCACAATTGGAGTGTACATGTGTTACCTCGGGTCTTAAAACAATCAGATTCATCGGAGACCAGAGACCATTGTTCTCCCCACTTTACAGACAAGGGGAATAGAAACAAAACCCCCAGGGTCCCAGGTTGTTGAGAACTGGGATCCGAACCTGTGTAGCTGTGGTCACCCTTACAGGACAGTTGGCTTCAAGTTCAGATGACATTGCAAGCTCCTGGAATCTTCTTTTCCCAAATTCAGGAATTTTGAGTAGGGCTGAGGTTCCTGATGAGAGCTGTCAGGCCATGGGAGGCTCTCCTATCACGTGAGAGGAAGGGGGGCTAACTGTGCTCTGGCTTCCTGGTGGGGAATTTCCTGTCAGTCGAGGAGTGGTGTTTTCCCGAGTCTGTCCTCAACTCTGGGGCACATGACTCAGTTCCTACATGGGACTGTGATTGTTTTTAAAAACATGTTTTCCATTTAGCTTAGCATGACATGCTCCACACAGCAAGGTCATAACTTGGAGAGACAGGGAGGAGTCCTCTGGCTTGGTGTGTGTTTGGGGAGCATAGGATAGAGTTGTTTTGTTTTGTGCTCTCGTATGCCTTTGATTTGACTCAGCTTCTCAAAAGTTTCTTCCCGGCAGGCATGCTAGCACACACCTGTAATCCCAGCACTTGGGAAGCTGAGGCCCCAAGTTTGACACCAGCTAGCTACAGTTAACCATAACAATATCCTGTCTTAAAAACAAAAGCAATAAAACATACCTTCTTCTGAAAGTTTGCTAAATTTTAAAAATTAGTTCAGCCCCATTGGGACTAATCTGATAGCCGACCACTGCTTAAAGTAACTTTACAGCCTTTAATAGCATGATTCAGGGCAGCCCAGCAAATGGACCACGTCAGGTCCTCCTTCCTGGCAGATGGCACCAGCTCCTTGTCCATTTCTCTGTCCCTAGATTGACACCCAGTGTGCGGCAGGACCTCTTCTTTTTTTTTGGTTTTTTGTTTGTTTGTTTTTTGGTTTTTTTTTTTGGTTTTTTTTTTTCAAGACAGGGTTTCTCTGTATTGTTTTGGAGACTGTCCTGGAACTCACTCTGTAGACCAGGCTGGCCTCGAACTCACAGAGATCCGCCTGCCTCTGCCTCCCAAGTGCTGGGATTAAAGGCGTGCGCCACCACCGCCCGGCACGGCAGGACCTCTTCTACTGCTTGTGTTTGCCCTTGTTCTGAGCCACACAGATAGTGTCTAAGAGACGGTTTGCCCAGTTTGATACAAATGTGACATCACACAGCTGGTGTATGGCAGAGTTTTCCTTCCCATTAAGTGGGAGGTATGGGCTAAGGCTGCGGGTGTGGCTTACTGGTAGGGCATGTGTTTCCAGCATGCACGAGGTCCTGGATTCTGTTCCCAGGGCCATGACAAGGGATAAAGGAAAGAGAAGAGAGAGTCGGCGTGTGGAGTTTCACTAACAGTTGTTTCATTCGCTTCTGGTCTTCCTGATTTTTCCTTTTGTCTCTTCTGAAAAAAGAAAGCGTATCCTATGTTACTTCAGTTAAGGGGACCTCTGCCTTGTTTTATATCAAGAATCCCTTTCAGACTCCTCTTCATGAGGTGGCTAAGATGCTGATTCCAGACTGTCATGGTGGAAGGAGAGAACCAGCTCTACCAAGTTGCTGTCTCATGTTTGTATGTGTGCTGTGAGTGTGTACACAGAGCAAACACAAATGTAACGTGGTCTTTTAAATGCTTCCTGATAACTACTTACATCTCGAATAGAAAACCTGAAAGCACTCTGGCAGTTGGGGCAGGCTAGGTTTTGTTGCAGGAACACTCAGATGTCCAAAATCCTAGTGACGAAAAGCAACAGGTTTCTTTCTCACTCTTTGTTGTTGTTGTTGTTTTTGTTTTTTGAGACAGGATTTCTCTGTAGCTTTGGAGGCTGTCCTGGAACTCTCACTCTGTAGACCAGGCTGGCATCGAACTCACAGAGATCCTCCTGCCTCTGCCTCCCGAGTGCTGGAGTTAAAGGCGTGCGCACCAACACCCAGCCTTCTTTCTCACTCTTAACTGTTGTCCATGGAAGGGGGTTGGGCTTTGTTCCCGCTTGAGTATGTCTTTATAGCCCAGAGCCAGAAGTGATTGACTGTCTGGAATGCTGGTGGAAAGCCAATGGACGGTTTCACACAAGAAACATTCTAGTCTCTAAATGACGTACCACTTATAGTTTCTGTCAGTAGATAGAATTAGTCCCATAACTTCCCACACACACCACATAGAGACCAGGAAGTCCAGCCCTACCTATGCATCCAAAGGCAGAGAGCCAGGGATCTCTGGTGAACGTGAAAAGGGGTGTGTGGGATTTCTCTTGTTTGCTGAGACAGCCTGGGTTGACTCGGAACCGGAGATCTTGCCTCCATGCTAGAGCACCAGGTTACAGGCATGCGTCAACACCTGGCCGAGGTTTTCTTTACTGATAGTGGAGTCTAAAGCAATAGCTATGAAAGCCGAGAATAATGCCTTGGATCACATATATTAAAGCCTAGAAAATGGAGAAGACGAGGAAATCCTGGGGAAATGATCCAAGTAAAAATAACATTAGATGCCGATTTTAAAGTTGAGCTGTGGGGTGGAGTAGGCGTAGGGGAGCAGAGGGCTTAGTGGCAGCATGCTCACTTAGCGTTTTGAGGTATGGGGGTGGGGGAGAAAATGATGGCCCAGAGCAGGGGCTCTCAGTCTGTGGGCTGTGACCGTCAGCAAACACATTGATATGGTCATAGGAACTGAGAACGCTGCTCGTTAGCAAAATTACGGTTATGAAGTAGCAACAAAAGCAATTTATGATTGGGGGTCACCACAACATGAGGAACTGTGTTGAAGGGTTGCAGCATTAGTAGGAAGGTTGAGAATCGCTGGCTAGGAGAGATCAGCTGTTAAGAGCACTTGCTGCTCTCCAGGTGACTGGAGTTCAGTTCACAAGTGTGACTCCAGCTCCAGGGGATCCAGCGCCCTCTTCTGGGCCAGTGAGATGTCTCAATGGGTAAAGGCACTGGCCTCCAAGGCTGACAGCCTAGAACCAGCACCCCAAAGTTATTCATGAACCCCACAAGCTGCACGCACGCGCGCACACACATATTTTAAAATACAAAGGGAATCCCAGCATTTGGGATGTGAAGGCAAAAGGATCAGGAGTTTGGCCCACTTGGGCTACATGAGAGCCTGTCTCAAAACAAAAACAACAATAAACTAGACAGAGAGCAAGAATAGTTCTTCTTATTCAGTGACCCTCACCTTAGGGCTGTTTATCAGATGAACTTTTGAGGGAAAAAAAAGTTCTCTTTACAAAGTATGTGCACATCCTGGGAACATTAGGGAAAAACAAAACCAAACCAGGCCCAGAAAACCCACTGGGCTGTTGTCTCCTAGAGCAGCTTCCAGATGCCCCCTCTCACCAGCTCACTTTTTCTGACTGTATAACCTATATTTTATTGTTTTATTTGTTTGTTTTCTAAGTTTGTGGTGTTAGGAATTTAGAAGCCAGCCGGGTAGTATTGGTGTACACCTTTAATCCCAGCACTCAGGAGGCAGAGACAGGCGGATCTCAGTGAATCTGTTTGATAATTTCATGCCTACACATAATGTATTTTAATCAACTCAACCCTACACAATAATTTTTAGAAATAAATTTATCATTTGAAAAAAAATAAAGCCAGGTGGGAGGTGGTGGCACATAGCATCTAATCCCAGCACTCAGGAGGCAAGAGAATCTCCGAGTTTGAGACCAGCCTGATCTACAGAACCAGTTCCAGGACAGCCAGGGCTACACAGAAAAACTTTGTCTTGAAAAACCAACCCTGCCCCCCAAAAAGGACCCAGAAAAGACAAGTAAAAATAAAACTAGTCGCTTTTTAAAAACTGATTTTTTTCCTAGTCTCATAATTAAAAGAATAAAATAATTGAAAAAATCTTCAGGCAGTGATAGTGAACACCTCAGGCAGATCTGTGAGTTCAAAGCCAACCTGGCTTACAGAGTGAGTTCTAGGACAGCCAGGGCTATACAGAGAAGCCATGTCTCAAAAAAACAAACAAACAAAAGAAAATAAAGGCCTTAAGTTTCTCATAATGTTATCTCGTTATTTGGGGCTGGAGAGCTAGCTCAGTGGTGAAGGGCACTTGTTATCTTGTTAAAGACCTGGGTTCAGTTCGCAGCATCTGCATGGATTCTCACAACCATCTGTAACTCCAGTTCTAGGTGAGCCAACGCCCTCTCTGACAGCCAAGATGCAAGCGAACACTCACGCGTGCAAGCAAACACTCATACGTGCAAGCGAGCACTCACTCATGCGAGCGAGCACTCATGCATGCAAGTGAACACTCATGTGTGCAAGCAAACACTCACGCATGTTCATTTTTAAAAGTCACTGTTCTTGTGTTTTTCCTTTCAGTCTTTCTCCCATACACGTCTGTATAGATTTAGCAAAAGTGGACCATTTTAAAGCCTTTTCTATTCAAAATTGTGTTTCTATTCAATATGTGTTCGCATATTGGGGTTCGCTGAGACAGTGGGAGATGAGAGGGCCTTGGAGTGGAGGGAGAAAGGGAAGCTGCCGCGTCCTCGGCCCACACAGGCTCGAGGGATGGGGGTGGGCAGTGTGTTGTCGAGGCTGCGGGAGATGGAATTGTACTGGATTATAGATAGTGCAGGAAGTCATTTACACTCTCCAGGGAAGAGAGGGGCCCAAGGCAATTCAAACTTTTCCATCTCCCCGTTTAATGATCGCAGCTTGCAGAGGCACACATGAAAAGCCCCGTCTTGTTTCACATCAAGTGAACCTAAGAAATTTTTTTCCTTTTGGCTTTTCAAGGCAGGGTTTGTCTATGTAGCTCTGGCTGTCCTGGAACTTGCTTTATAGACCTGGAACTCACAGGCTGGCCTGGAACTCACAGAGATCCGCCTGCCTCTGCCTCCCCAGTGCTGGGATTAAAGGCGTGCGCCACCAACGCCCGGCCTCAGAGTTCTCACATGGAGGCTGCACCGCAGTCCTCTGCAGCTGCTGAGCTTCTGCACAGGGGCAGGGCGGGAAGACAGGTGCCAAGACAGTCTAAAGTGTTCTGTCCAAGATCTCTTATTCATGCCCACCACATTTACAATATAAATATTCCTTTCCTTTTGTCCCGGTCGGCCATCTTTCCCTGAGGTAGATACATTTTGAACCCGGGACGTGGCATATGGTGACAGGGTGAGGCGTGACTGGCGGCGTCGAGACCTCGTTTGGGAGCTGCCCGTCCCGCTGGTCCTCACTGCGTGCGCGCCTCTGTCTTGTTCTCCACCTTGCAGGGTTCTGGCTGGTGTGGACCGTCATCATCATACTGAGCTGCTGCTGTGTCTGCCACCACCGCCGAGCCAAGCACCGCCTTCAGGCCCAGCAGCGGCAACATGAAATCAACCTGATCGCCTACCGGGAAGCCCACAACTACACAGCGCTGCCTTTCTACTTCAGTACGTTCCGACACAGGTCCCCACCCCCCTCCCCAACTTAGTCCTACAGAGCCTGGACCCGAGTGGTCCATCAGTGGCTGGGCCCCGGGGGAAGGTTGCCCCCATTGCCCCACCCAGGGTCTCCAGAGGATCACACAGAGGATCAGGCTATAGTTGTGGTCCCCAAGTCCTTGGGACCATTCCCAAGCTCACAGCAGCTAGGTCTCGGATCCTTTAACAGGCTCTCATACATACATACTTACATACGTACATACAATATATATGCATATATTTTATACATACATATATAAATTAATACAGGGTCTCATGTAGCCCAGACTGACCTCAGATTCCCTATGGAGCCCGAGAATGGCCTTGAACTGGATTTTTTTTTAAGGCACATAGTCAATGGAAGTTTAATTTTCGTGGCTTGGGACCTGGTACTCATTGACCTGGATTGCTCCTGTTTGGCTTGCTGTCCCTTATAGAGTCTTCATGGAAGAGGCAGATAGAAGGGGTGTCATTGGGACTTTGTGAGAGCTTAGACACTTGGTGATGTAACTGAAATCCTTGTAGCGGAATTCCCCATACCGCGCCCTCACAGGATCCGTGGAGGCCCCGACAAGGCATCTTGTCCTAAGCCATCTGGCACATTATACAAAATAATGAATGGCGTCACAGATGTTTGGACTTCGTAGCTGAACGAGTTATTTGCTTAGCATGGTGTCTTACGTATAGCAAGTTCTCAGTAAATGCTAGCGGCTGCTGTTAGGGTTCTGAATAAGATGATTCGGGCCTCTAGTCATTCAGCACGTTCAGGAGGAAACTCACCCCTGACTGGTAACCCACCACTCCTGAGCCAAGTCAGGATTCAGCCTGTTTTGCCGTTCCAGATTATCTTCAACCTCACTGTAGTCAAAGAGGCAATCTGGATTTCTGATCTTCGGGAAAGATCCCCTGTACATGAGATATCTGAGGGGTAGGAAAAAGTGTGTGGTCCACAATGCTTGCGTTAGGCCCTTGACTGTGCTCTAAGGACAGAGGGAGGATACAGTCTGAGCAAGAAGTGTGGGGCCAGCGCTGGAGAGAGAGCTCAGTGGTTAGAGAGAGCATGTACCAATTTTGCTTATGACCCAAATTTAGTTCCCCCGACCATAGATCACAGTCAGGTTCAGGCCATCAAACGCCCTCTTCTGGCAGCCTTAGGTACTGCATTTAAGTGTATATTCTCACACTCTCCTTTCTCTACTCCCCCTTCCCCATACAAAATTAAAAATTAGAAGCTTTTTAAAAGAAAGAAGCGCGGGGCTTGTGTGTCCCGGGAAACAGGTCCATTCTAGGAAGGATTTGTCTCCTAGCCAGCTCGCCACACCTGCCTCCCTTGTCCCTTAACCCCGGGAAGGTCCTTGCTGTGGCAGCTGCATCAGGAAACGTCATCAGGTCACAGCCACACTGTCCTTCCCCTAGGCCTGTGGTTCCCAACCTATGACCCTTTCATAGGCATCGCGTGTAGGATGTCCTACATAACATTTATGTGACGATTCATAACGGCAGTGAGTTTATACTCCGTTGGGGGCGAGCACAACATGAGACACTGCTAACGGGTGGCTGACTGCTCTGGGAAGTTACGGTCCCTTCCCGTTACAGCTAAGAGCCAACACGGCCACTGCTTGATGGCCGTGCTGCAGAGGTTGGAGGGGACGATATTATGTTTAGTGTGAGCTTTGCCAGGGTGCTGGCCAATGCAGTAACTTCTCCTCCCTACCTCCCTGTTTTAGGGTTTTTGCCAAACTATTTACTACCTCCTTATGAGGAAGTGGTGAACAGACCTCCAACTCCTCCCCCACCGTACAGTGCCTTCCAGCTACAACAGCAGCAGCTGCTGCCTCCTCAGGGTGGCCCTGCAGGTGGCGTCCCCCCAGGCGCTGACCCGCCCCAGGGCCCCCAGGGAGGGCAGAGCAGTCCTTTGTCTGGATCCAGTAGAAGCAGCACAAGACCCCCGAGTGTCGCCGACCCTCAGCCCTCTGAAGTGCCCGCGGACCGGGCAGCCACCAAAGCACCTGGAATGGAATCCGGTGGCTCAGTGGCCAGCCGTGGGGAGCTGGCCCCGGGGGCCTTCCTGGACAGGGATTCAGAGTGTGAGGAAGAGCTACTGAAGGGATCGAGTCTGGAGCATGGCGGCGTACCCCCCGACGGCACAGACAAGACACCTGGCAGGCATCGCCGCTTCACAGGTGACTCGGGCATTGAGGTGTGTGTGTGCAACCGGGGCCACCACGAGGACAGCCTCAAGGAGTTCAATACACTCATAGATGACGCCCTGGATGGGCCCCTGGACTTCTGTGACAGTTGTCACGTCCGGCCTCCTGTTGACGAAGAGGAAGGGCTCTGCCTGTCACCTGAGGAGCAGGCTCGAGAGCCGGGGCATCCCCACCTGCCACGGCCGCCTGCCTGCCTGCTGCTAAACACCATCAATGAACAGGACTCGCCAAACTCACAGCACAGCAGCTCCCCCAGCTAGAACAGGCCCTGCCTGCACCCGAGAGCTCGACAGACAACCAGGGTAGGGGACACCCACACGAGAAGCATTAAGTGACTTCAGACGTGGCACAACCACTTTCTATTTTATTTTTTCCCTCCTGTCCCACTCTTCCCACATCTCCAGGTACAAGTTTGGGGTGTGGCTGCCTCGTCCCCCACAAAGTCACAGTGTTGTAGAAGACTGAGGCTCTGGTTCTGGGACTCATTCTGCACCCCCATTTCCAGAGCTGTGTCTCGCCTACCTGCTTGGCTGAGAAACAAGGGTCTGGAAAGCCCCAGGACTGGGGCCGGGCTGGGTTCTGAGATGGCTCTTGCTGTCTGAGTGGATTCGTAAGAGAATTTCGCTGTGTCTCAGTCTGGGAGAGACAGTTTATCTTGGCCCTGGGTGAAGAAGGAAACCCTCAGGGGCCTGAGACTGTCACCTGCGGCTGTCACCGGCAGCTGCCAGTGTCTGCAGAGCTGGCATTGGTCTAATCCTGTGGAAGGGTGAGAGCTGATGGACGTGTTGGTAAGGGGCTGGCTGGTCTGGCAAGCCCCAGGTGGAGAGTACACCTCTGCATTGGAGAGGGGGCCCTTCTCCAATTGGCTGGCTTTGGCCTGGTTCAGGTGTAGGCGTTTATACTGTGTTCTTTATGTTTTCCTTGAAAAACAAATAACAGAGGCTAGCTGGAAAGAGGAAAGTGTCAGTGGGCAGGCAAGAATCCTCTTTTGGACAAAGGAATTCTGTAGCTGTCCCTGAGTTTCCAAGAGTCTGGCCACTGTTGGGCCAGAAGGAGAGTGTGGTAGTCCTGGGTCTTCTGTCAGTGGAGGCCTAAGTCTGATGTCTGGTAGAGATATGGCACCCTTCACCCCTGCCCTTTGTCTGTACTCAGAGGAGACCAGTGGTCCCTGGCCATCCTGAACACAGTCTGCAGTCTTTACCTGTCTTCTGTAAGCAGATGGACAGGGGAGGGTGTGGTCCTGGGCATGGCAGCCTTGTAGCTTGGCCCTCACACGGTATTTTTTCTTGAGTTATCCAAGACTGTTGTTAGTGTGTTTGTTCGTTTTAAACTGACCACTTGGAAAAACACCTTTGTTATCTGTGGTTCTCGTGGCTGCCTCTGCCCCGAGCCTGTTGGAGGGGGGTGTCTCACTCTCCTGGACAGCCGTGTTCCTGTCCCCTGGCTCTAGAGGCCCAGCCGTGGCTTGGGTAGGAAAAGGAACATAGAAGCAGCCGAAGCGAACATTCCCCGCCCAGCCTCATTCATACTAAGAGTTTGGCTCTCCCCTGCTCTTGAACGATGATATGTAGACGCGGCACTGTCGTTGTAGTGAGAAAAGGAAAGGAAGAAAAGAAAATCCGTATGTAATCACACAAACAAACCTGAGGCTGTGAGCTAGCGTGTGTCTGCATTTGGATGCCACAAACCAAAATCCTTGTCGAACAAAAGTGAAGTCTATACAGTGATGTTGGATGGTGTGTGTGTGTGTGTGTGTGTGTGTGTGTGTGTTCGTTCTCCATTGTGAGTGTGCAAGTTATCTGTGACCCCAAGCCCTGTGTTCCTGTGAAGATACTTTGAATGACCATTCTGCTCACGTTAACCCCGTGTTCGGAGCACATATGGCCCTCTCAAGGTAATTTATTTTACGCATTTACTGTTTACCGAACAAATGCCTGACTGTACTCGGGTGTCCCCGGCAGCGCCTGTGTTTGCCAGACTCTGCCCTCCAGGGAGAGGCTTCTTTCTCAGCTCAGCACTGCGATTTGCACACCGCCCCACGGACACTCGGGCCCGCATTCTGTTCCCTGGACGTGGAAGCATTCGGAACCCGTCCCTCCCCTTCTGCTGTGTTCAGACAGAAGCTTGATTGAGTCTTGAGTGACAAGCTTGGACTGGCTGTGGTTCAGACATCGACCTGCCCAGGAACACTGGGAGTCTCTGGCAGACGCCTTGATGCCACGAGCACGTACCTCCTCCGCCCAGGTCTAGAGGGTCGGTGTGTGGTCAGAGGGGCCGAGCTGCAACCCTCACACACCTTTCCCACTTCCTTCTTAAAATCCCAGACAACTCGAAACTGAATCTCCCCACACTCTAGTTAACTGGTGATTGGGTGGGACCCTCTCAAGTTCCTTTCCCCTGGCAGGATGGGGTGCTGGCGTGAGTGCGGACCGGCTTCCTGATGACCGAGCCAGTCTGGCCCCTGCTGCTTCAGGCCATGCTGGCGCTCAGAGCACAGGAAATACAAGTTAGGGGCCAGGGAGACTTGGCTGAGTTGGGTTTCCAGACAAATGGGAGGAGGGCTTGGTGCTACAGTCAGCTTTGCAGCCGCTAACACATTCCTGTGTGAGGCACATCAGCGTCCGTCAGTTATTGTGAATATGTGTATCTTAAGCAATAAGAGTCCGCTGCTCAGTGTCCTGGGCAGGCTGGGTGACGCTGGGTGACGCACACCCTGTGCTGTGACCGTTCTGAAGACAGAGTGGCTCTAACCACTGTGAGACGCCCTAATAAAATCAGTCCCAAACGTTCTGCTGCAGTTTTCTTTGCCACGCGTTAGTCCTTTCTCTTTCCCAGAATTCAGACATCAAACACCTTTGCCTTCTCTGTCCCAAGACCAAGTTGTGTCACATAGCAGCTCAGGGTTTCGGTCCTGAGAATGTTCTTCAAATTCCATTCATATCAGAACTTTGTGGCATGGATATGTTGAAATCCAATCCCAAAGGCAGAGACAAGTGTTGTCAGAGTCCCCAAAGCCAGGTTGGTTTGGGGACTTTATTTTTATCTTCTTAAGATTATTTTATATGTATGGATGTTTTGCATGCAGTAGTCATGGAAGCCAGAACAGATGGCTGTGAGCTGTCATATGCATGCTGGGAATCGAACCTAGGTCCTCTGCAAGAGCAGATGCTGTAACCCCTGAACCTTCTCTCAAGCTGTGCTTTTAGGTTGGGATTTTGCTTTTATTTGCGATAAGCTCTCTAGGCCAGACTTCTTAGGAACTTAATACATAGCCGTGGCTCATGGTGGCCCTCCCACTTCAGCCTCCTAATGCCGGGGCTGGGAGTGAACCACCACACTCTGTCTTACAATTTGATGTACACAATATGCGTTGAGATGCCTGTTTTGTACCTAGCATATGTTGGAATCTAGGGAGATGTGACATAAGCAAGAGCCATGTGCCCCACTCTCCTGGACTTGTACGTTAAGATGGCAAAATACACCTGTGTAGAATAGTTAGCATGCGGGCTGGAGAGATGGCTCAGGGGTTGAGAGTACTGGCAGCTCTTCCAGAGGACCTAAGTTCAATTCCCAGCAACCACATGGTGGCTCACAGCTGTCTGTAATGAGATCTGGCGCCCTCTTCTGGTACGAAGATATACAATCAGAAAAAGCACTCATTAATAAAATAAAAAATCTTGAAAAAGAAAACAAAATTCTTGCCCAGCCAGAATGCATCATAGGAAGAACCAGTCAAACCCTAGAAAAGTGTAAATGGCTAATTTTCTGAAAAAAGAAATGAGAAAAAAATATCTGCTTCAGAGACTGTAGGGGTTGTGGGAGGTCAGCTGAGATCTTAAATGCTGATCTGGGCGTCTCAGAGCCGGCTTTAGGTCTGTCACTGTGGGACTGTGATTCCTTTGTTCATTTCACCTTGTTTTAATACATCCTGTAGAACTTTGAGTCGGGCGTAAGTCCCTGAGCAATGACTAGCTTTCTGCTTCTGCTGGGGAAGGACGCCCTCACTCAGTGCAACTTCTCTAGGCAACTTGCGAGTGATCAAGCATGATGAGGCGTAGTCTAGCTCCTCGCACAAAAGCGGTTTCTGCTTCCCAGGTGTGCTTGTCAGGGGCCTCTGGGTAGTGGCTGCAACTTGTCCTGTCTAATAGTTGGCCCCATTGTATTTGAGAGTTTGAGTTAGCCAGGTATGGCCTTTGTCTCTGTCATTGAGACAGTTGCTGTCTGTCTACGTTTAAGCTGCCAGGCTCGGGGCAATATTAGCATGTAAGGACAGTTCCTCAGCACAGCACACCGGGAAAGATGGCTGTGGATACCCAGTTCCAGGCCAACTTAAGCTAGCAAGACCCTGGTTTCTATAGCAAAGCAACACAAATCCCACAGGAAAGAACTGGAGGCCTATACCGTTCCTGCCTTCTTAGAGATAATGTCTGAGTGGCCCCAAAAGAAAATGGCTTAACTCTTCCGGGCGAGTTGGCAGGGGCTGTTCAACCACACTTGATTTCTAGGCTCCTGGAACACTGGGTCATGGGAGTTGATTTTTCTAATGAGGTGTGAAGATTGTCTCTATTGCCTTGAATGAGCAAGTTCAGGTAGAAATCGTATTTGCCCAGAAGCCCAAGACAACCTAAGTTTTCTGGTTTTAGCTTTTGAGAGGAGACAAAAAGCAAAACAAAACAGGGTTTGACTCTAGAAGAGAGAAAGAATTAGGCTTGGCTGAGTGCTAACAGTTTCTGGCTGAGTCTGAAGAAGGGCTGTGGGTTAGGAGGTGTCTGGGTTTGGGGTTCCAGCCTAGGAGCAAATGTCTGAGCCTTAACCAGATGTGGTGGCACATCTGTAATCCCAGCTTTTGGGAGGTGAAATCAGGCAGGAAGGGGAAAAGGATAAAAGAGGAAGGACATGACTGCTTCTAGGTAAGGTGGAGGAGACGGATCATTGTAAATGAAGAGAGCGTAGGCAGAGACATCTGGGAGAGTCTAGAGTCAGCATGGCCAGACTGAGCCATGCCTCGTGAGGAGAGCGGAAGGGGGGTGCCGGAAGACGAGGGTATGAGGAGACTAAAAGGATAAAAGGACTGGTGTAGCCAAGATGGCTGGATTGTGCAGGGAGAACTAAATCAACACTCAGTCATTTGTCCCTGGTTTGAGACCTAACAAGGGACAGGAGTTCAAGGTCATCCTTGACTACATAGTGGTTTCAAGGCCAATCTCTGCTCTAAATAAGACTGCCTGAAGATACATGCATATATATATGTATACATGTGTATGTAAAACACATGCAGCACTGGGAAGTCTTTAATGAGCACCTGCCCTGTGCTAGGCGTCGGGAACTGGAAGATGCCTGAAACTTGCATCATCTTCAGGACGGAGACCTGAAGAGGAACGAGGCGCACCGGGTAGGCTTCCCAGTCACAGTGGCTCCATGGTTGCCAGGGGTTACCGAGAGCTCTCCGCTTGTACCAGGTGCGGAGGGGCGGCCCAGTAAGTCTGTCCGGGAGCCACGTGGTGTGGGAAGCTGCACCTGGGAATGGCGAGAGATGAAGCCGGAAGGTGAGCAGACTAGAACATTCAGCTGGAACTTGCCTGTGTCTTGTCTCTTTTTGACCGTTGACATGAGATGAGTCTTGTTCAAGCAGCTTCACAACTACATTTTCTAACCCCTAAAACAGTTCAAGGTACGGGTTGTAATCGTTGCTGCTCTGTCAGTGGAAAGGAGGGGGAGACATTCAGAGAAAGGGACTAACTTGTCCAAGGTCACACTGCTGATTAAAAGCAGATTTGAAGGTGATCTGTCGATCCCAAAGGCTGTTCTGTTAACCAGACAGTGAAGAACTGAAATGTCTGGGAACCACAGAAGAATCCGGTGACTTCCGAAAGATGAAAAAGTCAGTGAAGGGCCTGGTGAGTGGAACTCCCTGGAAGGTGAGGCCGCTAACACTTCCTCAGCCCACACCTTCCAGCCTACCCCCAGGGAGAAGCAATGCCTCGGGAGGTGTTCAGGTCCAAGTTAACCTCCACTTTGGCTGGGCCCGATGGCGCCTGCCTGTAGTCCCAGCACTCGGAAGGCAGAGGCAGGGGGATTCAGTGAGTTCAAGGACAGCTGATGCTCCATAGTGAGGTTCTGTCTCAAAAAACAAATCAGCAACAATAAAACCCCCACAACAAAAGTTAACTTACAGAAGAAGGGTGTGATCCTTGGAATCTCAGGAGTTAAAGCTCTGTGTGTGTGTAAGAATAGGATTGTCAGTATTGGGGGGGGGTAGGCAAATTTTTGTTTGGTTGGAAACTGCCAAGTACAAGTCTGCTACTCCCACTGGAAGATGCCACAAAACACCTGTGTGGAAACCATAGGGTCTGTCTGTCTGTCCTTGTGTTCCCCGCCCATTTCTTTGAGTGACTGTCACTGCTGCCTGGCTCTTACATGCAGTTGGGTTCTGGAAGTCACTCCACAGACCTCTCCATCCAGCCTACTCCTGAGAAGTCTGTGCAAAGCCCTCAGGCAAAGACTTAATCTATGAAACATTGGTAAGGCCAGTGCTTAGTGAGGAGCCAAACTTGCTGTCTAGGTCCCTACTCAGACCCCAGAGCAACACCGAGGAGACTTACTCTACACACGAATCCGCCTCCCTCCCACGACACCACATCTTACGGACGGGAAACCCGGGTTCTGTGGTCTCTAAATAACAGCCCTGAATTTGTCTCCACAGGCTGGCCTTGTCACGTCTGAGGACTTCCTGCCCACACAGCCCTTTGTGGTTTGTGTTCACACAAACCTCAGGGTGGACAGCTTTTGTGGAGTGACCCCACAACATGGCGGCTCAGAAAGCCCGCTGTGGGAATAGAATGCAAGACCGGACGGCCAGGGACCGTCGTCTGATACTCTCTCTCTCTTGCTCTCCCAGAGTCCCCTGCTCTGCTGCCTCTGACTGGTCCCCTGCCGTCCATAGGTGGGTACCTATCTGTGTGTGACTGCACAGCAGCCTTTGCTTCGGGTTTTTGGCCACCAGAGGCATCAGGAAACCCTAACTCTCACACCACACATCCCCTGGGGACCGCCCCACCCCCCACAGAGGGCCCCGGGGGAACTGTTTCTGAAGGATAGGAAGGGGAGCTGCTTTAGCTTACAAGAGTTAATTATTATGAAATGTTCACAGATTTTAAGAGCTGCTTATTAAACAGGCAGTAAAAAAAAAAAAACTAAACCCACACATGAATATATTGAAAACAGGTAATGAGTATGCAAAGTGGACCACTTCCTGACATTCCATGTTAGTATTATCTATGCCCCTGAACACACACAGGACATTTACTGTTTGCAGTCATAATCCCACAATAAAGTTTCTCTCAATAACAGACTCATAGACAGCAGAAAGATTATAGTGGGCCTGAAGATTTCTTGTCTCCTAGTGGCATTGTAGCTGTTATAAAGTATAGCATATGTGTATGTGTGTTTGTAGGGATGCTCACAGAAACAAACCCATAGGATAAACGAATACCATCACGTTACAATTACAGTAGTGTTTAATGAGCAGCATGCTAGGTAGTGTGTGTCCGGCTGTGGTTTCCCAACTACCAGGCTGAATACACAGATCTTTACATATAAGGAAAATACCCAACCATGTGTTTCTGGAGGATGCCTCCCCATGTAATGATAGAACGTGTAAAGGCGTTGGTGGCGTACACCTTTAATCCCAGGGCTGGGGAGGCAGAGGCAGTCAGATCTTTGTGAGTTTGAGGCCATCTGGTGTACATACAGAGTGATTCCAGCACAGCCAAAGATTCACAGAGAAACC